ACGGTATTGCAGGACACACAAATGTGACATGTCATCGTAAGAGTGCAATCGTTCTCTTAATCGAACAGTGTTAAAGTATACATCTAACAACCTTCTGAACTGGCTCACAGATGTTGCTTCCATCACATGTTCAGGCAAACTGTTCCAACTATTTACCACTCTCCGTTCGAAACACAGTGGGTGGAGAACTCGCTTCACATCCAGTACGACAAGTTTGTATCTGTGTCCGCGTGTGCTGCATAGCCCTCTTAAGTGCAGCATTGGTGTCAGCATGGGGCAGTCACTGAGGTGTAGAATACGGTCATAATAAGGTCGACTCGCACCCGACGGTAAGACAAGGTGTAGAGTCCTAGTTTCTCGCACCGGTCTTCATACCGCAAGTCACATATACTCGGGATGAGGCTGGTAACAACGTGTTGGACCCGTTCGATCTTTTGTGTCTCACCTCGGGTAATCGGAAAGTAGGCGGGCGAACCGTACTCTAATTATGGGAGAGAAGAGGACAGTGGCAACCTCTTCAGACCATGTGCCGAAGCTACGCTTGAGCGCCCAAAGCATGCGCAGTCCGTTACGACATAGCCTGTTCGTGTTGTCCACAGACTTCAAATGGTAGCGCGAGAGTACACATAGGGCCTTCACGGAGGGTGTGGGATATAGCGGGTGTAGGTTCAGCCATTAGCACTCTTCCCCAGGCTCATAAATACAGAGTTGGCTGGGTTGACCGGGAGATGAACTTCTGCGGACCATGTGGATAGGCGGTTGAGGTCCTGCTGAAGTAGGCCACAGTCGTCGGGAGCTACAATTTCTCTCAAAATCTTAATGTATTTCACAAACAAGGTACACGGCGACCGGAGAAGCTGTGGTAGAACGTTAATGTGGATCAGGAACAGAGTGGGCCCCAGCACCGTGGCTTGAGGCACACCACTTTTAGAGGGATACCAATCAGTTAGATCGTCGTAGACCTGTACCCTTCACTTTCGTCCAACAAGAAAGTCGCGGATCCACCGGTACAGTGAGTCGCTGACACCGCACATCCTGAGTTGGTGAAGGAGAACCCCATGGCTGACCTTGTCGAACGCTTTATTGTAATCGATGAGTATCACGTCTACAGACTTCCCCTTACTTATTGGCTTCAACTACTCATGCCTCGTCACAAGCAAGTTGGTAATGCATGGGCGGCCTTGCATAAAACCGTGATGTGCGGGCGTCAGGACCTCTTGTGACTGTAGCAACCGCAATAATCCCTCTTTTACGAGTTTCTCAGCAACCTTTGCTAAAATAGGTGTCATACAAGTGGCCTGTAGTTGTCTACTTTGCTGGGGTCGCCGCTTTTCGGAATATACTCCACTACCGAACATTTCCAGTCAATCGGCAACGAACCTTCAGACAGCGACCTGTTGAAATGACCAGTCACAACAAAATAGATGATGGGCGAAAGTAACTTGAGAATCAGTGAGTGAAGCCATCAGGTCCGGCAGGTTTGGTTTCGTCAAGGCTGGCGAGTAGTTGACATACCTCTTCAACGCCGCAATCCGGACTATCGACTTCGGTAAAAGCGGTACATGTCGAACTCGGAACAGACGCCTGGTTATTTGCAAATAAATAAGCGAAGTGCACCGCCAACGCGGACGCACGCTCAGTGCTGGAGGTTATGGGCTGTCTGTCCGGGCCATCCCGCACTGGCACATTACCTGCTGGCTTCAAGCGTCGCTTCAGGTAAGCAAAGATTCTCTTTGGGGCGGTGTTCGCGGCGACTACGAGCTGCTGTTCGAAATGTCAGCGCTTATTCCTTTTTGCACGGTTGCAGAGATTCCGCTGACTTCTATATCCTTCGTAGTTATTGACAGAGCCAGACGGGAGCAATCTGTCCCACAGTCTGCGCCGCCTCCGAGGCAGATTTCCATACTCCTTGTCAAACCAATAAGACGTAATTTGTCCAACCTTTTGACATTACAAGGGCACAAATTGGGAACACAACAATGGTAATTGCTCTTTTACTAATATCCAACAGTCTTCCACAGATGCAGCTTGTAACAAAGACCAATCCATTTGGCTCGTGGTTCGAGCTAGACCGTCGAAGTTTGTTTTCCAGTAGTTGTAAGCTGGTTCTTTCGGACGTGAATACAGCAAAGGTAATTCCATAGCAGCTATGAGCACTGAGCGGTAGCTTGTAGCCTGGGGCTCCAGGATCCCAATGTCAAGCACTCATTGTTCGTAGCTCGTTAACTTCAGGTCGAGACAGGAGGGCGTTGAGCGTGGTGTTATGCGTGTTGGCTGGCATATGGGTTGCGATGCACCAGTTTCAAGTACCAAATCCATGAATTTTGCTTCAACCTTACCATGTCCAGGCATCAAATGTACATCAGGCCATCTTATTGGAGGACAGTTAAAATCGCACATAAATAGAACGTGTGGACGACTCATGTGTATTCCAATTTGGGGCAGCCAATCCAAACAACGACTCAGGGGGCTGCGAGGAAATGTGCCCACAACTAGTTCTCTGCGCCTAAGGCAGATGGAGCACCACAGTAGCTCACACAAACCATTGTCACTTCGGTAGGTGCTTACAAGTCTCCCACGGTGGGAAGACATTATGTAGAGCAAGACACCACCGCGGGCATTTGTAAGTCTGTCGTATCGGAAGCATGAGTAACCGATGAGTTCAAGTTCATGGGTGTATAATTCTGAATGCAGCCATGTCACTGCGAGTCCCACTACGTCTGACCGCTCAGACGCAACGAAACAACAAAGCTCCTCGCCCTTACTCACAAAAGTGCAAACGTTTGTGAAGGCTACTTGCAGGCCGCAGCAGGAGCCGCCGGGAGTGCTTGAAGTGTGAGCAGCCTGTTTATCCTGATTCACACATTCTTGGTAACCACCTGCAAATGTACGATATGAAGATTTGTTTCCCCCTCACCAGTACGTCTTTTCAGCTCAGTGATGGCAGACTTACTCCGCCCCCTGTCAACTGGGTCCAGGTCTAGGCGAACATGAATCTACAAAGTCTTCAGCCTACTTAGGCGGGACAAGATAAGCCTTGAACTGGCTTCGTGCACAAAACTGATTCTCATAGGCCGGTTTTGTTGATCACCTTGCTTTCCAAGACGGGTAATTTGCCTCACATTTACCGAGTCCTCACCAGCGTTGAGGAGTCTGTCAATTGGACCTTCTAACACTGGACATTGTGATCGTAGCGCATTTGGGGTGATGGATCACTGGACTCCGGCGGGTAGAAGATCACGAGGTTATAACGCCTCTGATCAGATGAGGTTGCCCTTGCAGGGAGAAGTATATTACAAGCCTCACGTGGTTTGGCTAACTGTTGACTTACAGCCTTATCTTTGCACGATAGCCAACTGTTTGTGACGGTATGTCGTCTACACATGGTGTAGGCGCCCTGACCCTGAATGTTTGCTTAGGGCATTAAGGTTTTCAGGTAAGTCCCTCTTCTCCCCCTCTTCTTATTCTTTATTTCATAGCTCGTTATGGTTTTATGGTAGCATCCGTTCAAATGGCTGCTGCTGTTGTTGTTGATGATGATGAAGATGAATATAATGCACTACTCCCCTCGGCTATACTGCACCTTTGTTGGCTTCCCTGGACTGCACCACACTAGTACGATTGATACCGTGCGTTTCTAGGTGTAGTAGTTTGCCTGGCAAATCGCAAGTTAATTTAATAGCGTCTAGAAATCTTGAGGCTTGCAATAGTTTTCCGTCTAAGTTTCTAAATTACCGACTGCATCCACTGCACACTGCGCTTTCAGAAATGCTTTCTAGTGCTACGCGTTCAAACTATTAAGTTTCGTTTTTTGGTGCTTCATCGCATCGCAACCTTATCTTATCTTACCTGTCCCGATTGCTTCTTGACCTAACGAAAGTAATAAACACACTACACGAGCTGTTTTAAAATTAAGCATTCGTATGTTTCCTTTTTCTCCTTGTTTTTGTATTTTATATTGTTATTATCTTCCAGTATAAATGCTGAAAATAAACGCATCTGGGTCCGTAAAGATTATTTTGATTTTACTTGACTTCGGTCCACTTACTCGCGCTATATCCTTCGACCAACGGCCTAGCATGAGCTTGTCTTACGGTTGGCACTTAGGTCCCCACTTTGTCCGTCACTCGGCCGTTGGGTCATCAACGGCATACTTTCAACACACATCTGCCTACGTCTACAATAAATCCGTTTTATTTCTTTCGCCTCTGTAATTTCGAGCCCTGCTCCACATGGCCAACCATGTAAACATGGCGTAGAACATGGGCGGCACCAACCCAATGAACCGTCGTATCGTCTTTTGTTTCATCTAATTGCGGATGTGTTTCAACAGAATCCCCAGTAACGGCGAGGGCGGCTCCGTTTCAGTGATTCGAATGAACCGAAATTACTGGGGAACAAGTGTTAGTGAGAACGCAACAAGCGTTATTAGCTAAGTTTGGTTACCGTTGTACATATACATGTGTAATAGCCACTCTCCCAGCTTTCAACTAGCACACTACATAGCATGTGCTCACTTGCCGGCTTTAATTGCGTCCAGAAGTACAATGTGGATCACGCGGAATTACGGCGCACATCTTACATTTTAGGCATTTCACCTTCTGGGTAACCCATTACTTCTCTTTGCACCGTCACATCCAGAAACAAACGCTGTCTTCACAACCATTACGACGTACGGCACAACCCTCGCACATCTATGCTGCAACTATTTATATCGATTGATATGGGCGAATTATTGAAGCATCCAATCACACGTACTCATCCACCATTTCACCTTCACTAGCCAGCGTTGCATGGGCATAGATGGGAAGCGAGGCGCTTCTAACCAATGGCATCGAATCCTTGTGGGTGTGCGTGTGTACTCCTATTCGTACACAGCTGTGAGTGACTACGTGAGCTGACAGCCCAGCGCAAGGCAGTGGAGAGCGCGGGCTCTGGTCTACATTGCGTCCATAGGTCAGTGAGAGACTCCTCTACTAGTGCCAGTCACAGAAGAATAACATGGACAGCAGATCAGCCACGATGAAAACACGATCCAGAACTATACCTAATTAGAGGTCAGCGCACGATACCCATTCACTGGATTAACGTTACCGTAAGGTGTCACTGGATTACTACTTGACCTGTGACGGATCTAGTTCTTTAATGAATACATCTGGCTGACTAGTAAGTTAGTTGTGTTCATGCGTATTCTCGACAAGCATACTTTTCATCAGTAATGTTAACATGAGTTATGAGTTTCAGCGAGCTTCCATTTAAACAACCCTGGAAATTTCGTGCTCGTCCAAAGCAAGCCACGTCGGATATCGCGACCCAGTGTTAATTTATGTGACTAAGCAGCTTTAGGCTCACTACTACCCAAATGCACAGCAGTAGTAGGTGGCCAACCATTTCTATCCTGCTCATGTGGATCCGTCCTCTATTTAGCTCTTTCTGTTTAGAGCTACGATATATCTTAAGTTTTGCACGTCACTATCAAGAGTATTTGCATATTTGGCCACGCACATAACCGGAGTTCCAGTTCTATCTCATTGGAGTAAAAGCTTACCATCAGTACTGGCCAAATATGAGAGGGTAGTAGACGCACACACAATTGCATACCTTAAGGATAACGCACTGGAGATTTAAAGTTTCATATAATATCCACTCCGCGGCAACAAGACTTGACCTTGGTGCCACCCCTCCCTCCCTCTTTTACCCACCGAACTATACTGGGTAGTGCCCCCCGGCCACTTGTGATCTACTCCTACCAGGTTGATCAGTGTTTAGAGGTCAGCCAAACTCAGTCTCCTGGTCTTCCAGCCTGGGGTTTGCAATGAGATGGCCTCCATTTCTGTAAGCCTGAATCCCTGTCACCTCCCCGCTGCCTTGCCGACAGGATTTTAAGCCAAAGACTTTGGTTGAGGACCCAAATCTTCCTCCTGTCTAGGTCTGGGCGCCCTGGTTGTATCTCGGCCCACATACAGCCATGACAATCTCCTCAAACGTTAACTACATTCTGCATCGGCGGTCGCGTAGATTATCAGCAGTCGCCTTATCTACAATGCACAGCAGGGCGGATAGGCGAAAACATTCTACTGCCGGCACCTTTCTTCTTTCTATCTACCTGTTTCCCTTACTCCCCTCCCAACTCCCCATTACTGACCTTCCTTCCAAAAGTCCCAACTTAACTGACAACAGCCGTAATGCAACTGGAGTCACACCGTATGCAGATGCCTTCACGCACCATCCACTGGACGTCTAACGGCAACAATCCGTTATAAGCCCAAGCTGTCCCGTTTCCGTGGTGGCGTTCAACGTTCGCACTCTACGACAAATAGGCCAACAGTCTGCACTCGCACGCACCTTGGACACACTGGGTATTGATGTGTTGTGTATCCGAAACTAGGATCAATGACCCTAACGGCGTTGTTGAATCAACTGCGCCCGGCTTATTCTTTCGCCATTGGTTGCACGCAACCGGAGACACTGATGCGGCAGCGTCTGATCAAGCTGGGGTAGGCATCGAACTCAGCTCCAATACTGACTCAAAGTAACTTGACTGGATTCCGGTGAACAGCCATTGGCGTGCAGCCCGTTTGACCACATCGACCAAGGTTAATTCGCGAACTTGTACAAGACACGGTTTGCTTGTGGTTTCCGCTTGCGCTTTCACCGACTGCTGTTCTCATGCTGCCAAGGACACGTTCTAGCACGAACTAAACACGCTAATACGTAGTGCTAACAGTTCAGATATCGTAGCAATTGTAAGGTACATGAATGCACAAGTAGGTCGCCTCGGTTCTGCAGAAGGTTCGGTAGGTAGTAAGTATAGATTTAACTCCGAAAGGACTGACAACGACGAGCGTCTTTTGCAGCGGTGTGCAGAGCATTCGCTGTTTCTTAGCTGTACTGCTTTTAGACAGAGTGGGCGCCGAAGAGCCACTTGGCGTCCTCCTGTAGCTGGCCAGCGATGGGCCCAACTTGATCACTTTGCCATAAGTTACAGGTGGCGTGGTTCCATCATGGATTGCCATTCCTACTGGAGTAGCTGCGTCGACTCTGATCATGCCTGGGTACGCTGTCACTTTCCCATAAACTTTACCGGGAGGCGCACAAAGCCTCTCCCCCGATTGGCAATGGATAAATTGTCTCAGCTCTCGGTCAGGCAGGCCTATCAAGACCCACTGCATACCGAACTTTCGCTTTTTTGTTCTAATGCCACTGAGCTTCCGTGGAATAGGATCTCGGCCGCCATGCAAGATGCAGCAGCATCTGCTTGTGGCAGTAGCATTCGCCACCGCACCACTCACTGGATATCCGAGAGGTTGATAAACTTGTTGAAGTCCTGAAAAATCTCTCTACTGGCTCTGAGCACAAGATTGCCAAGTGGACCATTAGGCGCGAAATGTAGCGCAGTCAAAGTGCTGACAAGGAAACCTAGTGGACCAGTCGGGCTCAAGAAAGGTGGGAGGCAGGAGCAGTAGACAATTGCCCTAAGCTCTTTCAGCTGATCCGCCCCACTGGTCGCAGTAAACCAGGTGTCAGTGAGACAAACAGAGACAACGCCTCTACTCTCATTCAGAATAAGGAGTGCAGTATGGCTCGTTGGAAGGATCACTTTTAAGATCAGTTCAGTTTTCCCCTAGTCCCGGACCCTTTCCTACTCAGGTGATGCAGGATGAGCCATGGGTGGTTAGTTTAGAGGCTCCATCAGGGGCTGAGGTCCGAAACGCTATCACAGCCCTAAATCGCTTTCGTTTTGCTTGCTCGGATTCCCTTCTACTTGTACTATCTAAGGATTAAGGTGAGGTTCTCTGCAAAGCACTGACCTCCCTGTTCGAATATGTCTGGGAAGAAGACACCGTCCCGGCTACCTGGCGTGAATCGATTATAGTGGAAATATACAAGAAGGGTAATAACACCTACTGTGCTAACCATAGTGATATTAGCCTAACGCCAGTTGTGACAAAATTACTAACCTCGATTATCTTTCGCTGCCACACTGCGGAAAGGCAAACCTGAGTTAAGGAGGAGCAGGCAGGTTCCCGTCAAAGACGGAGCTTTGTGAACCACAGATTTACTCTGCGATAGATGCTAGAACACACCAGGTAATACCACAGACCGACAATTATTGTGTTCATCGATCTCAAGGGTACGTTCGATTCGATCAGTCGAGGCATTCTGTTCGAAATGCTTGTGCGAAATGGTGTTCCCATGGGATTTGTGAACATCTTAGGTGCCCCGTACTCGAACACTGCAGGCCGCGTCAGGATCTAAGGTGAGCTATCGGATAGCTTTCCGACAACAAGTGCCTTTCATCTGTGTTGTCCGATTTCCCCAGTTTTGTTCAGTTTCGTCTAGGATACCATCATGGAATGCTCCCTTGCGGAATCTCACGAAATAGGCGTTGGGCTGACTAATGAACGTCTATTTGATCTCGATTATGCGGACGATACCGTCTCGCTGTTTAACGATGTTAGGGCGAAGTAATCCACCATGAATAACCTCGCTAGAGTTGTCTCATTATTTGGTATGCGCTTCACATCTTCAAGATGCAAAGTGTTGCTGCAGGACAACCAGTCACCTGATGATCCTTTGCCCATAGATAGCGAGGAATTTGCGGTGGTGGGTCAATTCACTTACCTTGGCAGCTGTATCAGCAACGATGGGCGCTTATCAACTGAAGTCAGTTCACGTATTGTAAAAAGCAGAGCTATCCTTTTGAATCTGCGACATCATTGATGACAGAAAGCAGTTTCCATTGGTCCAAGTGGCCGTGTTTGCAAGGTCGCAGTGTGGGTCATCCTACTCTATGGGAGTGAGATTTGGCCCGTCGGTCTGAAGATCTGAGACACCTTCAAGCCTTTGCTCACCGCTGTCTGCGGAGCATTGTTGGTGTCCGGCGGCACCCGCGTATCCGCAACGATGGTGTCTATAGGCGAGTGATAGGCAATGATACCCAAGCTAGTTCCTTAGAACAACGGATAGTACTGCCTAAGATGTGTTGGCTCAGTCACGTACTACATACGTCTGGTCACCGCTTACCGAGAAAGATCTTGTTCTGACTGTCAGATATAGGACGGTGTAAGGATTAAGGTGGACATAAGTTGATTTGGCAGCGCGAACTGAAGTCCCTGACGATCAAACTTAGTGCTGTCGGTCCGTCTCACCTTCTAGGCTGGAGTCCAAGTGTTAGGCTGGAGATTTTTCAATTGTTTGCGGTCAGCAACAGTGGCGCGTCTGCTGGTGTCTTACTCGGACTGCCCGTTTAACGTGTGAGTTGTGTTGAGTTATCTGCTGGGTAATGACTGATTATGACGCGGGACAATGAAAACCTCAAAGCAGCTACCTCGCTGATGCTGCCTTATCTTTTCACCATAGCCAGCTGTTTGGGATAACATGGGGTTGGCAAGGTGTAGGCGCCTTAACCCTGAAAGCTTGCTCAGGGTAGTAAGGTTTTCTGGTAAATCCACTTATCCCCATCTTATTAGTCTTCGTTCTGTAGGTAGTTATGGTTGTATGGCAGCGAAGCATCCGTTTGAATGGCTGATGTACCGCTGTTGATGATGATGATGATGATGACGACGACGATGATGATGATGATGATGATGATGATGATGATGATGATGATGATGATGATGATGATGATGATGATGATGATGATGATGATGATGATGATGATGATGATGATGATGATGATGATGATGATGATGATGATGGTGATGATGATGATGATGATGATGATGATGATGATGATGATGATGATGATGATGATGATGATGATGATGATGTACCAGCCATTATGAGGTCCCGTTATATCTGTCCTCACAGTTCCTTCAAGTATACCGAGCTAAAGTCATCATACACTCCTGTAATTAAACTTCACCGAGCCTGTCCGACAAATGCGATCAGTTTCTCGGATCCGACCTCTAAGGATTATCTAATAGCTACATTTTGCAAACCGGGTAATATTCCCAGTGACTCAGTGTCGCTAAGCAGTGTGTTCCTGACGCAGAATGCATGCTTACTCACACACGATAACATACATCCAGCAAGTGGCCCAGGACTAGAAATACAATAAACACGAAGGGCAAGCTGAAATAATAGACTTAAGCAGCGGTACAAAAGAGACTGTTTCTGTGTGGTCCGGCTGAAACGCATATGCAGCTCAAAAACCTGCAAGA